CACACTCAAGAGGCTGAGAATCTGGTAGTTGCTCACTGGGCTGGAGGTTTTAGCAGTCCCAATCTAGCACTTGAAGAGCCAGAATGCTCTGACTCCATTTTGGCTAGCTTCTTTAGACAAGCCCAGACAAACTCAGACATAGTGTACATATAAAAGCCTTATAAGGTATGAACAAAAACTTCTGACTCTAAAAGATATTAGCACATTCCAATGCCCTGAAGACAGCCCCTACCAATCACGACTTTCCCCATACACAAGATATGGGGTCATCCAATTAAGACTTTCCCCGCACACAGGATATGGGGACATCCAATTATTTTAAAAAATACTTGGTGTGTGCGGGTTTCTATGGAGTGCCCCAATAAAAGCTCCTGCCTGTTATTGTTCGGGGCCAAACTCCATATTTGGCTCGTGAAGTCTGTGCCTGGCTAGCCGCCATTTGGTTGTTGTCTTTTTTTCCTTTAAATTCTTAAATAAACTTTTGTATACTCTTTTTGGGTATCTGTGGGAATTATTCTCTATTCTCAAACCCTAACAGTACTGAAGGCCTGAAGGATTCCTGGAGGTCACTAGTCTTTAGTCTATGTTGGGATCAGAAGTTGGTTCTACTATCAGAGGAGGAATGCAACAAGATGAAACCGCCAGTGAGAGAGCGAGGGCAAGGTGGCAAACAGCAAAGCTCCCTTCTTCCATGGCCTTTTTATACAGGCTGCCATCAGAAGGAAACATACACATTTAGGGTGGGTCTTCCGGCTTCAAATAAGTCAATCAAGAAAATATTCCATTCAAATAATTCAATCAGTTCAGTTAATCCAGTAAAGTTGACAAGATTAGCCATCACATAACCCAAAAGGTGGATGAAGAAAATCAGCAGTTCATAAATAAAATAAGAATAAAGAAAACTATTCAACTTCACTAAGGAAACCATGAAAACAAAGTCAAATCAGGAGAAAGCACCAGGACACCGACCAAAACTCCATCGGGATGGAGTTTATTAGCAGAGGAAACCGCAGGGGACAAGTCCCCTTTTGGGATAAGGAGCTGTCAGTTCACAGCTGGGTTTTTTTTTTTTTTTTTTTAATAGGGGGCTTTGGGGAATGTGGGAGGCAGATTTTAAAAAAAGTTAGATGGGTGAGAGAGAGCCAGAGGCTTATCAGGAGAGAATAGCCTCTGTCAAACCGCCTCCCCTCTGCCCCCTTCCATCAGCCAGGATCTGGGTTATGTGATAAGGGTCTATACATTGTGAGACAGTTCCTACATCCATGAGTCTGGGGTGCAGAGGCTTGTTTGTCTTTTAAGATTATCAAAGGGGTCGGGCATGACTGCACATGCCTTTAATCCCAGCACTGGGGAGGCAGAGGCAGGCGGATCTCTGTGAATTCAAGGACAGCCTGGTCTACATAGTGAGTTCCAGGACAACTGGGGCTACAGGGAGACCTTGTCACAAAAAGACTGAAAAAAAAAAATTATCAAAGGGGAAGCAGGTTGTGCCAAAATGGCTCTTTGCAGTAGGTCTGGAGTCAAAAGGTGTAAAGAGTCTGTTTATCCTTTAAGATCATCAAAGGGGGCGCATGCTGTGCTGAAGCAGATCCTTGCAATAATCCGTGTTTATCTTCCTTGCAGAGAATCTGTTTATCTCGCCTTTCCAATGGTCAGGGTGCTCATTAACTCAGTTCCTGCATTCTCAGGGGGCCTGCAAAACCGTAAGGCCCTGCTGCATTAGGGTTTGCTGTAGATCTGAACCCTAACATTTAATATAGACAAAAGTGACCACAAACAGTCCCTTATCACATTAGTAGGTGTGTAAATATATTAGCATTTTTGTGGGGTGATGACACTGCATTTCAAAATCGTATATGTATGTATTCTTTTTTTTTTCAATTTTTGTGTATCAGTCTATTGCCTGCATGTGTGTCAGCGCATCCGTGTCATGCAATGCCCTCGGAGGTCAGAAGAGGGTGCTGGATTCCCCTGGAACTGAAGTTATGAATGGTTGCTAGCTGCCATGTGGGTGTTGGGAATCAAACCCGAATCCTCTGCAAGAGCAGCCAGTGCTCTTAACCGCTGAGCCACTTCTCTAGCCCCATGTATGCATTCTTTGACCCAGTAAATTTACTTCTCAAAACTGTCAGTTTTCGTGTAACATAATGTTAATGGGCATCCACCACAACACTCAAACTTTAAAACAGGGAACAGCCTACATGCTTATTAATATGGACTGGTTCAATAAGTTCTGATATGTCCATCCAGTAAAACACTGCAGTAGTGAAAAAGCACTGACGGGCATTTAGAAAGAACCCTAACACGTTAGGTAAGTGAGAACTGAAGAACAGGGTCAATAATGTGTCCTCTTGTTTAATTAACTTTTTAATGTACAAAATGATGTTTCATTATGACTTTTGTTTTTGGTCTTTTTTGGGACAGGGTCTCCCTGTAGCCCCAGCTGTCCTGGAACTCACTATGTAGACCAGGCTGGCCTTGAACTCACAGAAATCCACCTGCCTCTGCCTCCTGAGTGCTGGGATTACAGGCGTGTGCCACCACACCTGGCCATTATGACTTTTAAAAAAATTTTATTTATTATTTTTATTTTATGTGTATGCGTGTATTGCCTGCATATAGGTAAGTACACTCATGTCGTGCAATGCCCTCGGAGGTTAGAAGAGGCTGTTGGATTCCCTGGGACTGGAGTTACCGACAGTTGTTGGCTGCCATGTGGGTGCTGGGATTCGAACCTGGGTCTTCTGCACTAATAACCAGTGTTCTTAACCGCTGAGCTCCTCATTAGGACTTTTCTGCACTTTGCTCATATTCACCTCTCATTATCCTCTCTTTATTTAGAGAAATGAGACACGAGTCATGGGCTTTCTCTGGCCAAAAAAGAAAAATCTCTCTCTCTCTCTCTCTCTCTCTCTCTCTTTTGAGACAGGGTCTCCTTGTAGCCCCAGCTGTCCTGGAACTCACTATGTAGACCAGGCTGGCCTGGAACTCACAGAGATCCTCCTGCCTCTGCCTCCCAAATGCTGGGATTAAAGGTGTGGCCCTCCACACCAGGTGAAAAATTACTCTCTTGAGCTAATCCACTACAGATTCAAATTTTAAATTGGGCAAAAGGTCCCACACAGCTGCCACAAGTTTGTGACCAAGAATAGTAAGGACCATGCTGAGAAGTTACTCCAGTACACCTTCCACTTAATTGTCCCATGTTGATTACTTGAAAGGCAAAGTTAGCAATGAGAGGGCTAAGAGCATGAGAGAGAGAATGAGCCAGAGTAGGCAAAGCTAACTGCTGCCAGCAGGTGGGCTATAGAGTCAGGGGGCTGAAGCAGTTGCCAAGGGAATGGGTCGACCAGATCTTTTTTTCTTTTTCCTTTTTAAGTTATTTTATGTAAATGAGTGTTTTGCCTGCTTGTATGTAAGTGTCCCACATGTTTGCAATGCCTGTGGAGGTCAGAAGAGGACATCAGATCCCCTGGAACTGGAGTTACTGATGGTTGTTAGCTGCCATGTGGATGCTGGGAACTCACACTAAACCAACTTGGAGAAGAGTTTATTATCTTATACTTCCAAGTGACAGTCCATCCTTGAGGGAAGTCAGGTAGAAACTGAAGCATAGACCATAGAGGTATACTATGTACTGGCTTGTTCCCCTGGGCTGTGTTCAGTCTGCTTTATTTTTATTATTATTATTATTTTAAATTTTATTATTTTTATTTTATGTGTATGCATGTATTGCCTGCATGTAGTAAGTGCACTTGTGTCCTGCAATGCAGGTGGAGGACAGAAAAGGCTGTCAGATCCCCTGGAACTGGAGTTACAGACAATTGTTAGCTGACATGTGGGTGCTGGGATTCGAACCCAGGTCTTCTGCAAGAAGAGCCAGTGTTCTTAACTGCTGAGCCATCTCTCCAGCCCCTATTATTTTTATGTGCATGTATATTGCCTGCATGTGTGTAAATGCACCCATGTCGTGCCATGAGGGCGGATGGGACTGTACCATCTCTCCAGGCCATCAGTCTCTTATACAACCCAGGACCACCACCTGCACAGGCGTGGCACCATTCACAGTGTGTTGGACTCTCCCACATCCAATAATCAAGTAAAGGCCTCACAGGCATGCCCACAGGGCAACCCAATGGAGTGGAGTCGATCCCCCAGTTAAGGTTTCCCCTTCCCAGGTATATCAAGATGACAACCAGAAGCCAACAATGACAGACCCTCGCCTTCTGCCCACTTTTTTTTTTTTTTTTCAAAAATAGGGAAAAAAAAAAAAGAAATACTGGTGAGGAAGGGAGTAAATAGAAATCCATATTCATTCAGAAAACTAAAGGTAGGAAAGCTGGAGAGATGGCTTAGTGGTTAAGAGCACTGGCTACTCTTGCAGAGAGCCCGGGTTCAATTCCCAGAACCCACATGGCTGCTAACAACCTTTTGTAACTCCAGTTCCAGGGGATCCAACAGCCTTCTCTGACCAACAACCCGGTGCACTTACATAAACATTAAATAATATATAAAATATTTCTTTTAAAAAAGAAAACTAGGCCGGGTGTGGTGGCACACGCCTTTAATCCCAGCACTCGGGAGGCAGAAGCAGGCGATTTCTGTGTTCGAGACCAGTCTACATAGCAAGTTCCGGGATAGCTGGGGCTACAGGGAGACCCTTTCTCAAAAAAAACCAAAAAAAAAAAAAAAAAAAAAAAACTAGGCTGGGCACGGCGGCCCATTCCTGTAGTCCCAGCACTAGGGAGGCATAGGCAAGAGGGATAAGTTCCAGGCCAGCTAGGACTACAAAAGGACAACAAAACATACATACAGAACCAGCACAGTTGTCCAGACTGTAATAGCAAAATAACAACATGGTGCACATACATAGCTGAATTTTATTCAGCCACAAAATGAGGTGAACAGAAACAGAAAATTACTAAGAAGCCAGAGTGTGCCCATTACTAATCAGGCATAGTATAAACAACACTACTCTTCAACAGGCAGTTATGAAAGAAACCACTCAGACTGCATTCTCTCCCTCCACTCTCCCAAAGGAGAGAAGAACGATCATCAATGGCAAAAGGCGGTTGCACGAAGACAACACCTAGAGCCGGCTTCACGCTCAGGAGAGAATACTACGTCTCCTCCTCGTGGTTTCGGGTACTCTACACAGTCAGAGAAACTTCTCTAGTAACGGACTATAGAAATGATCCCTGAAAGTATAGTCTTAACAAGCATCTCCCCGCCTCCTCAAAGTCCTGGCTTACACTCAACTTTAGACTAATGGTGACATTGTTTCTCTAGCGTGTTTCCTAAGAAATGTCACACAAATATATTTTCAAACCATTGTTTTATGTACGGCTTGATAAAAATATTTTAAAGACTTTTGAGTTTTAAGGAAACACAGATTTACGTTCTTAATTAACATATTACGAACGACAGCCAATCAGACGCCAAGCCCAAACCAATCACTTCCAGACCAGTTTAAAGAGTAAGGGTGTGATCATCAATGTCAGAAGGCAGTTGCAGTTAAGCAACACCAAGAGCCGGTGTTTATTTTGCTTTAATTTGAGGTCGGGTGTCGCCAGATAGCCCCTGCTGACATAAAACGGCAACCTGCCTCAGTCTCCCCTCTGTAACAGGCAACGCCTCGGCTGGCTGTACAAGCATGCACCCCGCGACAGTGTCACTCAGGCGGGCCTCGAGCTCTCAGCAGTCCTCCTGCCTCAGCCTCCTTAAATTCTGGGGTCGGAGGTCTGCGGCACCCGCCCCAGGGAGGCTCAAATTGGTTTTCCATTCTCAAGTAGGGCACGCAGTGTTGGGGGCTTTGTTGTGAAGATTCGGAATTTCAGCCAGTTGGGAAGTGGAGGCAGGATGATCAAGGTCATCCTCAGCTACTATAGACTTCAAGGCCTGGCTACATGAGACCCTTTCTCAAAAGAGAAAGGAAAAAAAAAAAAAAAATGCGTGGCGGTTTTCTAGGTGGGGCCCGACGTGGTCCGAGCCCTAGGTCGCCATCTTGCTTTGTGGCAAGGGAAGGACTTTGCTGCCCGTATCCAAGATGGCGGCTCTTGGTGGGCGTAGCCAGTGATGGAGTCTCCGAGAAAGCGGGCTATGGCGGCGGCTACGGAGAGGAGTTGGGAGGACGAAGCGGAGGAGGAGGAAGAGGAGGTTGTAAGAGCGGGTCCGAGGCCTGCAGAGTGTTGGTGGTGTTGGCTCTGCCAGCCCCGGGTTGGGAAGGGAATCTGGGATGCCGCCGTCGGGAGGGAGGCCGGGAAATAGGGCTCACTCGCTTCTTGCCCCCGGGCGCGTGAAGCTTGGAGGTCTAGTCTTAGTCCTAAGTACCATTCTAGAAAAGATAGAGATGGTCGGAACGGTTCTTTAGATAACCGTGTTTCCTTCCACTCGTTGAAAACAAGATCCATTTTCCACAAAGGTGGGATCATTGCAGTTGCGATTTTTTGCTTTTCCGGTTTCTTGTCTCTAGCTACTGGCAACATACCGTGTTAACGTGTCTTTCTTACCACAGGAGCAGTTCGTGTTGGTGGAATTGTCAGGAATTATTGATTCAGACTTTCTCTCAAAATGTGAAAATAAATGCAAGATTTTGGTGAGTCTCTGAATTTAGAGATTGTTGTAGATGTCTTTAAACAAGAATGAAAGGTGATATACCTCTCCAGAAAGACATATTTATTCCATTTTACAGAGCAATGAACTCTTTGTTTTTTTGTTTTGTTTTGCTTTGCTTTGTTTTTTTGGGGGGGGGTCTTTTTTTGAGGCAGGGTCTCCCAGTAGCCCCAGCTGGCCTGGAACTCACAAAGATTAGCCTGCCTCTGCCTCCCGAGTGCTGGGATTAAAGGCTTGTGCTAAGAGCAGTGAACTCTTAAGGATCATTCTAGAAGAACAGTGACAGGGGAATCTATGGGAGTAGAGTACCTAACTCTGCCTCATCGCCTGAATGTGTTGTTGGAGAGACTGCCGAGGGCAAAGGAGGTAACATTTGTTGTGAAACTGCTAGGAGAATTTTAGGACAAAAGCCCCATCCATTGCTGTCCCAAAGCAGAACCCCTATTCTTTCCAATGACTCAGCCTCTGATGCTTTGGCTAATGGTACCACAATCAGGAGTACCAGTCTAGACCCAGACCCTGGTCTGAGTGTGGGTAGGTGTGCCAGTTGCCCAGCACCCAGGTTACCTGCTGTATTCAGGGTCCAGACACCACTACAAGTGCCTCCTCTCTGGATGCATTGCCACTACTCACACTCATGCCTCATTGTCCAATCAGATATCACAACACCCAGAGTCAGAGCAGGCTGTGGTGTGGCATACTTGTAATGCCACAGTTTGGGAAGGTAAGGCCAGAGGATCAGAAGTTCAAGGTCACCCTCAGCTTCATAGTCAATTCTAGGCCAATCTGGCTACGTGAAACCTTTTCTCAACAAAAAAAACAAAACAAAAGACGACAGATTACAAGATAAAGTTATAGAGTTTTTGAGATAAAGCTCTGGCTTCAGAAATTCCAACAGGCTAGTCTCTGCCACTCACCCCAACATGTCAATCAAGAGTGCATATTACTCTTGCACAGTTTGATTCAGGCAGTTCACAACTGCCTATAACTCTAGCTCCACTGGATCTGATACCTCTGACCTCTGCAGGTACCAGCACTCACTTGTATATAATTAAAAATCATCTTCAGGTAGATCTCTGTGAGTTCAAAGCCAGGCCAGCCAGGGATACATAGTGAGACCCTGTCTCAAAAAATCAAACTAACAAAAAATAAAAATAAATCTTTTTGGAAAAAAGAAAAAAGATTTCAGGCCTTCAAAACAAATTTCTCCAGGCATGGTAGTGCATACAATTAGTCCCAGCACTCAGGTGGCAGAGGCCGTGAAATCTCTGTGAGGTTGAGGCCAGCTAGTCTACATCATAAGTTCTAGGGCTACAGGAGACCCTGTCTCAAACAAACAAGCAGATACAGATCAGTGACTAGGCTCTTTTTGTCTTTGGAGACCTCATGATGCTCTCTACAACTAGCTACTTTCCTCCCTTCAATGAAAGGATGATAAGGGAAAGGCATACTCTGTTCATGTTGACAAGGAAGAAAAAAGTGTGTACTTTGATTTTAGTGGGTACAAGTTATAGATTAGAGTCTGAGAATTTAACCATCTCTTGTCTCTGTGAAGTTCTCTGTTCTCTTTCAAAACTACTTGAGAGGTATCATGTGCTGCTTGCTCTTCACTAGTGGGGAGGTAGGTCCTAAGGGATAGGCAAGTCCTTTACCACTGAACTACATTCCTAGCCAGATCTTTATGTTGTGGTACTGAGGATTGAACCTAGAGCCTTGTACATGCCAGGCAAGCACTCTACCACCGAGCCACGTATTCATAGCTCTTTATATTTTTCATTTGAGGTAGGATCTTACTAAATTGATCAGGCTGTGGCTTAGGCAGGCCTTGCATTTTGGGATCCTTCTTGCCCCAGCCTCCTGAATAGCTGGAATTATAGACCTGTGGTGTCAAGCCCAGTTCCAATCATCTGTTTTATCACTTTATTTCTTGTGGTTCTGGATAATTGAGCCTGGTACGTGCTAAACATGTTCTCTATACTGTTAGACTCCTAACCTTTATCACTTTAAAATCTTTGAGTGACTGATACAAAATCTACAGCTCCATTCTTTAAACCTGAAGAGGATGTTGATTGAAATAGATCTTGCTATCTGGGCATGAATTAAGTAATCTTATTGTTGCTGAGATCGTAGCACTGGTAGTTTATCATGTACTTGCTTGTACCAGGTACCATAGACTAGAGGTTCCCTGTTTTTGTGTGTTTTTTGTTTTTTTCGGTTCCCCAGTTTTGAAAAATCATTTCCCCCATAGCAAGTTTATGTGCAAACACTGCTTTTTTTTTTTTTTTTAATTATTTTATGTGTATGAGTGTTTTTGTCTGCTTATATGTAAGTGGTACATGCCTCTAAGCAAGCACTTGGGAGGTAGAGGAAGGAGAATCACTTTGAGTTCAAGGCTAGCCTGGATACATATCAAGATTCTGTCTCAAAAGAAAGAAAAAAAAAGTGTATATTAATTGTAGAAAACAATAGGTTTCATTCTCATATATTCATATATATATTCAGGTATATTATATATGTGTGTGTGTATATATATG